AATTATCCAAATTTTTGGTTAAGACATATGTCATCCCATTATAATTGTTTTTTGATCTACTAACTCAAAAAATATCGAGATGGACAATGATCAGGACTGTGTGCTAGATACTACAGGAAATACCAGTTTAGAAATTAATGCAGTTACTAAATTTGAAGCTGATCGTGAACCAGTTTAGTGTTGTTAATAATAAAGAAGGAAGAGAAAGACGAAAGCCACTTATGAAGGAATAATAGTATTACATGGAAATGCAGTGGGTGTTAGAATGGACTTCGAACCTGGTGGTACCATTAATGGAAATGAGAATGCTAGACAGAAAAGCTTTTTTCCTCTACCTTGATAATGATTTTGTACTTAGCTTTAATACAACAGAGGAGCATTTAGATATAACTAGCAGTTGGAAATACAGCACTAGAGTATGACAGAGAGTAGGTTAGAATTAGAAATATCTCTTGGGGTGCCATCCTCAGAGTCATCATTAGAACTTAAGCCCCAGCTACATATGGTATTATTAATTTATAAAAACAAAAAGTTTAATTCAGAAGCGGTTTCTTTCATACATAAAAGCACTGTCATTTCCCCCACTAGTGAGCATCTGTTAAATGTGTGGAACGTGAAGAAATAGCTTTTGGTTGTTCATATGTCTTGCTTTGACAGATTTATTTATATTGTGTGTAAGAAGAAATTGCATCAATAGTAATTTGACATTTAATGGGCGTATTTCTCACATTGAGAAGTAATCAAGAGAGAGTCTTTGCTCCCTTTGGAGAAATGCGTTAGCTCATTATAAGGATTTTATTAATGCTGTTGTAGAGGTAGATTGATAAATAAATTCTATTAGCCCAAAAGCGTTAAAGTACATTCAAAGATATTATAGATCCAGAGCATCTTTTATAATTCAAATAAGATCTGAGGTTTGATCTCATCAAAATAAAATTTGAAAGGGCCAATGTCTTAGAGATATTTTAGTTACCAGTAACAGAGACCAACTGAGTCTAGATTAAACACAAATGGAAATATGTTTTATACTTATATAAATCTGTATTTGTACCTGTGCCTACTTTAATCACCCCTGCCCGTCTAGGACTGTAGGTGGGAGCCTGCACCACACATTTGGTGACCGACTATCTGGCCACCTGAGCTGAATCCATACAAGAAAAGTAAACGGACTCCTGGGCTCACATACCTAGTAACAGATCTAACCACCTGGTGGCAGGATGTTAGAGCTTCAAAGGCACCAATAATCAAACTAGCTCACACGAGCAGCTTATTTGGGCATGTGAAAACAAAACAAAACAAGAAGCTAGGACACAATAAGCAAACATAAAATAAATTAATATGATGACTTATTGATGGCTCAGAGACAGCAGTCAGGATCAAATCACATAAAGAGGCAGACCATGATGGCTTCAGCAAGCTCCCAAAATAAAGAATCAA